CAGGAGTGTCAGCACCCCGAAGATGTCCGGGACAACTGTTCCAGGCAGACGTGAGCAGGAATTTGCCCAGCGAAAGCGGCGTTTGGAAGCGGGCCAGCCTGCAGCAGCAGGTTGCTTGATAGCAAATCCCTCGCGCTGAGTCAGGCTCGAAAGCCGTGGCTGTGTTTTGCTACTCAAGGGGCAACCAGTGGCCCTCTTAATTAATTGGAAGCTTTTACGCCTCGGGTTGCTGTTTACATTTCTAAGAGTGCTTGAACATGAAATACGGAGCAATTAAACCAGGAGCCCTTTCTCATTTTCAATTTCTATTCAACGATGGAGGAAAAACAAGTTCAGTCGGAGGTGCCTATTCCTGTGCGAGCACGCACGCAATCCCAGGCAACAACCCCTTGAATCAAAGGGAAGGGAATTAATACACAACCAGATACCTCTCTCCTGATTTGCAATCTCTAAACAACAACAGCCAAAGGAATCTGGGTGTGGGTTTCAAATGAAACTACAGAGCACAAATTCCTATCGAAAATCCTGAAATGAAACCACAGGAGCCTCGGAGCGCGACTGCAGGGGTGGACACGAGTGGATCAGTTTGTGCTTTTTAGAGCAGAAGGCCGACAGGGCCTAAAATAAGGCCACGTGTGAGCAGAAAACTTCATGAACATGAGCTGTCCCTCTGCAACCCCGATTCCCAGACTGACCAGACTGATCCAGCTCCTCAGGACTGACAAATCCACCAATAAACTCTGGTGCTGTACACAGAACAAGGGTTCCTGTTCTGGTCCTCCAGAAAACAGCTTTAAATATAATCACAAAAGCCCTTGCAAAAACTTGTCTGAATAACTGTATCCCCATAAATTTCTTGGCCTAGGGCCATAAGCAGGGAGTATGTTAAGACAGACCTAACATTTTCTTTGCAGCGAGTTTGTAAGGCACCTCCTGCTTACGTGCTGCCGTGGGTGCTCCTTCCTCCTCTCACCTCAGCTGCAGAAACACAACCAACCAGCTAAGCTAGAACATGGGAAAAAACCCAACCCTGCAGCCTACACCTCACCCGACCTCGCGAAACTCTACCCCCAACACGCCTCACCTCCAACAAACTTCAGATGCCACCACCTGAACTCCAGAGACAGGCTTTGGGTAATAATTTGTGACTATTCTTACTTCCCATGGGACGGTCACTAAAGGCTTTTGAACACTGCTGGAAGTCTGTCACGGCCTGGCAACGCCTCGGGCAAGTTAGAACCCGCCCGTCCCAATGACAACAGGTCCCACGGACGCTGCCACGTACAGGAAAAGGATTTCAGCTGGACACTGGGAGTTAAACTCTGAGCCAGCAGTATGTGAGAAGGTGGCCTCATGCCCCCCTCGGCGAGGAGCAGCTGGCCTGGCTCGCTGCGAGGCTGCAGAGAAAGGGACGTACCTGGTGCGTGAGCGCACGCCCGTGACAGAGGAACTGGTGGAATGGCCGGAGCCGCCAGCGGCGCCGGGTTCACAGAGGGGATTTCGGCAGTAGGACGTGCGGTTGGGGCCCCGCCTTCCCCCTGCCATAACAACAGAGGCTGCAGAGGGCTGTTCTCCTTCGAGAGGGCTTCTCCCGCTGCTCACTGTCTGATGAGGTCTTCGCTCCTTAAAACTGAAAGGAAAAAGATTCGCAGTTAAGGCTCAGCCGCTCCCCACGGCCCCGGTGACACCACCAGCTCGCAGGATAACGCAACAACTTCACTCAACCCTTTCCTACAGCTCCTGTCTTTGCCAGAGGCTACAGATGCAGCCCCAGAGAGCTCCCGACACTCCCCCGACATGCAGCAGCTTGCTGAGGTGTCGTGAATTCAGGGAGAGTCAGGTTCAGGCTTCCAGGGGAGCAGGAAGCAGCTTTTCATACCTCCCTCCCAACCCAGGGCAGTTTACAAGGAATTTAATGTGCATCGCTGTGTGGCGTTATCCCCCATTTTACAGGCAGAGCAATGCACTCACAGACATGTTAAACAAAGGATTCAGTAAATTGGAGATGCTACCCAAGTCCCTAATTTTGCTTAATTTGGTGCTGCATGCAAGGATTCATAGGTCTTTTAAAGGGACACTGCAAAATTACTCAAACTTTTTTCCTTTTTCATTCCTTTAAGGCAGGGAAAAACCAAACCACAGCATTTTTAGGGCATTTGCTGTTGTTGACCGTTTGCCTGGCACAGAGCTCAACAGGATGCTCGCCCAAAGTCAGCTTTAGTGCCTCCTTCCCACAGCGTAAACAATAACAGTAATAATACCAAGGTTTGAAAAGCCTTCCCTGGATCCTGTTTATCTTTAGGAGAAT